ACATTTCATACCAAACCACCCTGAATGACTTTGTTCACACTTTAACAACTTAATTATGAAGAAATTCTGAAAATAGGGTGGAGTTCCCCTCTAATATCTAAGGATTTCACATCATAGACTTATAGGGTGAAGACATTTTGCTGCACTGACTTCTGAAGGGCCCTTCATTTAGCAACACTGAACCTCCAAAATGGAGGAAACGCTGATTTGACCAGTATATAAACACTATTTTTGTCATTTCTTCTCCACTGGTAATAAAAAACACATTACAGAGACTACATGACGCAGTTAGTCAAGACACTGTATTATCATCCTTATTTCTCTGATTTTACTGTTTGTAGCGGTTAACCAGCTACCATGAACAGTTAACCAGCTTGCTAACGGCTATGTTAGCTCCTCAGCTAACAGGAGCACCCCACTGCTGCACATCACCCAGTTATCTATTATTATCCCAGTTTTATTTAGTATGTAATTAGTAATTAGTGTAACATGTAATTTGTATAATGAAATAGTATAAAAGCACGTAATTATCTGAAAGAACGTTTACTTTTGTGTTACACCATTTATGGCAGGCGAGTTAGCAGCTTGCTAAAGGCTATGTTACCTCAAAAAGTCACCCGTTTGTAGCCAAAAACACTTCTAGCTAATTTTTTCTGCTAGAAAACGGTGCATTATATATATATAGTGTTCAACTACTTGTTGGGTATTTATTCGGTTTTTAATTTTGGGATTCAGATTTTCTTAATGTTGTTTATTAATAAAGGCGAACAGCAAAATATTGTTACGTTTGGTATTTTTGGGAGAAACTTAGACGACTTGAGGTTATGATGAACGCAGTTTTATTTTCAAACACGCTGAGAAGCAGCACAGCCTCTCTGCTCTACTCCAGAAAATCCACCACTCCACCCGTATTCATTTTTTTTTTCAAAATAAAAGTCCTTGTATGAACGAGCCTAAAACACCCCAATATAAACATTTCTTCCCTTTAAAAAAAGCTGAACTACTTACAACATGGAGTGGCGACACCACGATACATTTTGTCAGCAAATTATTGTATTTATTTATAATTTAATTCTGTATTTATTCAGTTTTTATTTTTGGGATTCCAATTTTTTTTTTTTTTGTCTAAATGTAGGCTATCAATAAAGGCGAACAGCCAAATACTGTTCTGTGTTTTTGGGAGAAACGTAAGGTTATAATCCATAATGCAGTTTTATTTTTAATTTGCTGAAAATAACCAACCAATACTTTTTAATTACACTATTAAAATGTGGAAATATATAAAACCTCAGCTCGGACGCCTCACATTACACTCACTCACAGCAGTTCACGTCATGCTAGACAGTGTGCTAGACAGCATGTATTCCCAGTGCAGCTGAAAACTCCGGCCCACCATACTGGACCCTTTTTAGGGCTGCGATGTATGCCCTTCGTACCTCTGTGAAGCGCTGGTTAACCTGTACTTAATCTGTGCTATTACCCGCTAGCCCACCGCTAAGAGATGCTAGCAGGCCTGGTAGACAGACTGAAGCTATGCTGTGAGTGCCACTGTGCTCTGTGAGGAAAGCAGCTAGCCTGGAGATTCAGATATCATAGAAGATGGTAACCCATGGATGGGCTTTCAACATGGATGTTGGACGTGAATTTTCTAAGCAACTTTCTTAGCCCTAACCCACCTCCCTCCACTTGCAGTGTGAATATTTGCTGTTGATTCCTCCCAAAGCTCTGGAGTCCTACAAGCCGGTGGCACATACTTTAAGATGTGCTTCATAATCTAATCATTCTTAATATAAAGAATATATTATACAAATTTTCACTACCATCTTTATGGGAAACTTCTCCACACTAAATGTAATATTTCTTACAGTATTTCTACATAAACAAGAACACAAAACTTTTAAACTGGTACGATACACTTGTTACATATTCCTTTATTTTGTTTTTTAGCTTTTAGCAAATTCATCAGAAACTTTGTGTTAAGAAACCAAAGAACGAAGAAACCAAAACCTTCAGTCTTACTGTCATTGTTATTGATAGAGCTTCTTAGCCTGTTAGCAAGTTTCTCTAGAATGATACATTTCACACCAAACCACTCTGAATTACTTTCTTTACACCTTAACTACATATTTAATGGGTGGAATTCCCCTTAAATGGGTGGAATTCCCCTTAAATGGGTGGAATTCCCCTTAATATCTAAGGATCTCGCATTACAGATTTCAGGGGTGAATACATTTTGCTGCATTGACCTCTGAAGGGCCCCTCATATTGCAAGACTGAACCACAAAATGGAGGAAACGCACCTTTCTTCATGAAGTCTAAGCTGTTTATTTAGCCCTCCCATTCAGTACTATGACCAGTGGTCACTACATGTCGCCAGTCTTTGTATTAAGACGTGCTCATTTGCTTTAGAACATCTTGAAAAGCTGGACTCACTGTGTAGGAAGAATTCAATGCCGAAGTCCATGGCCCAGCTCATGGTGGCTGGGATGATTCCCAGCAGGATGAGAAGGACCCAGTCTTCTCCCAAGTGCCACAAGAAAAACTTCCGCCATGGTGGGCTGCAGACTGCAGAGACAGAACCCACAATACCACTTTAGAAAGAATCCATATTTATCAGCTTTCTGGGCTTATTTTCATGGCTTCATTGACACCATTTGCCACCTCAACAGTCAAATGACCCAGTCTGCAACACCAATGTCTTGATTGATCAACTACATTTGGGGTTTGCATGTTTGATTTTCACTGAACTCTTGCTTTAAGGACATATTTCCACAACAAAGTGGTCAGGAGCAGATAGTGTTGACCTTAGAAGACATGGATGGTGCCACACATCAATTGGTGTTGATGGAACAGCAGTGCCGGATTCCAGCTGCAAATCTCTTAGAAACATGTCCTGGACCCAAAACAACCAAATTCATACCAAGAAAGGCACAACAGAGGTGCCCTGAGACTGTGGACGTAGGAGTAAACAGAGACTTCTGTTTCTAAGGCAGCCTTTCTGGAGTCCTCCATGATCTCTTGTCCACTGTCAAATTCTCTGATTTGGGATAAAACATACCAAATGCGTGCTGACATTACAGTACCAGAGAGCATGATGTTATGTTGCCTTGAGATTCAAAGAGTCCAGCTTCTTGGTTACATCAACACAGACAAAAAGAGGTGGAAATCTTTAGATCCCAACCAAAAAAAGTATAAACCCATTTCCATTAAAGGTTGAGACAGTAGGCAAAATCCAAATAATAACAGAAAGCAGTGATTTGTAAACTATCGTTTACAGACATTTAATTAAAAACAGCAGAAAGATATCATACTACATAGTTTATATTATCAACTCTAACAATTCTAAATTTGATGCATGTAACACATTCCAAAAATGTTGGGACTGTGATGTTTATTGAATCATCAAAAACACCTGTTTGGAACTACACGTAAACAGGTGAATAGGTAACATATGTTGCTATCATGATTGGGTATAAAAAGAGCATTCACGAAAGGCTCAGTCATTTACAAGCAAGGATGTGTCAAGGTTCACCACTTTGTAAAAAAAATTGTGTGAACAAATAACAACAATGTAAGAACAACATTTCTTAACACATGTTTACAAGCAATATAGAGATTTCACCATATATAGTCCATAACATTGTTTAAAAATTCAGAGAATCTAAAGAAATCACTGTGTATAAGAGGCAATACTGAATGCCCATGACCTTTGACCCCTCAAATAACCACATGCTCAGGAATACTTTAGAAAGCCCTTGTTAGTAAACACAGTTCGTCACTGCATCAACAAATGCAATTGAATACTCCACTATGCAAAGTGGAAACCAAATATCAGCAGCATCCAGAAACGCCGCCGACTTCTCTGGGCTAAAGCTCATCTGAGATTGACTGATGCAAAGTGGAAACATGTTTTGTGGTCTGACGAGTCCATCTTTCAGTTTGTTTTTGGAAATAATGGACATTGTGTTCTCTAGGCCAAAGAGGAAAAGGAACATCTTGATTATTACCAGCAGAAAGTTCAAAAGACAGCATCTGTCATGGTATGGGGGGAGTTAGTAGGTGACTTGCACATCTCTGAAGGCACCATTACACGTTTTGGAGCAACATATTTCGTCATCTAGACAATGTCTTTTTCAGGGAAGTCCCTGATTGTTTGAGCAATGTCAAGTCACATTCTGCACATGTCACAACAGTGTTCATACCTAGTAAAAGAGTGCAGGTGCTACACTAATTCGACTGCAGTCCAGGCTTGTTTCCCATTGAAAATGTGTGCCGCATTACGAATGCAATATACAACAATTTACAAATTAAATAACAATATACAAAATGTCATGCTACCGGAAATTGTCAAGACAGATGTCATGATGTTTGATTTATGATCAGTAACTAGTTGAGAACTGCAAAAATGTGCATGTGACATAAGGTGTCATGAAATCAAACATTATAATATTGCATTTGATATTAGAAACATAGAGTCTAACTTTTGCACCTCTATTCCTTGGCCTTTATTAGGCTAGAAGTTATTTGTTTTTCAGTGTCAGGAAAAAGCAGAAAACATTTACTTAACAGAAAATTAGAGCCTCAGCTACTAAATATAATATTTTTTCTTCAGTATTTAGCGTGTCCACTCTTCACCTTTATTACAGCTTTCATTCTATTCAGGACACTCAATTTCAATTATTCAAAAGAAATCTGCAGGGATATTTTTCCACACCTACAAAGTTCAGTCTTAGAAGATGGTTGCATTTTCTGCCTCTCACGATCCAGTTAATCCCAAACACATTCAGTGATGTTGATGTCTGGGTTGGACAGTCCATTGTTCTGAGAACACCAGCAGCTTCTTTGTTTGATTTGCAAATATTGTTCATTTTTGTCTATATTATTTTCTCAGGGCTTCTTGATAGCTACTTATCCTTTTAGACCCATAGTGCTGAGTCGTCTTCTCAGAAAACTTTAAGTACTGTTTATGCTGCTGTTTACACTGTGCTCGCCAACATTTCAAATCTTAGTCTGGAAATATGAGATGAATTCTTGTTTTAAAAAAGTTACTTTCTAGCTTCTATCTTCGAATTCATGGTATATTTTTAAACTGAACAGGAATATGTCGTTTATGCTTCACTTAGTCAGGCAATCTTAAAATTGAGTAATTTACTGGTAAAACAAGCTTCATTAGAGAGCAGCAATTTGTACCATTCTCTTTACCCCCCCCCCTCAAAAAAATCTAATCTAATCTAATTAATCTAAATAATATATTTTTCTCTCTGGTGTTCAAACAGTAGAGCCTTTTTGTTCTTCAGTAGTCCAATGTCATATCTCTCTCTCGCTGTCTCTCTCACACTCTCTTTTCAGTTGCCATTAAATGTAGAATTTCATTAAATGTGGAAATTTCATTAAATGTAAAATTTCACTTGCAGTTCTGGTTGTGATTTCAGTAAAAACACTTTACTGTTTTAACATTCTGACTTAGATTAAGAGCTAATTTTAAACCAAGTATGTGTTTAGGCTGACCTATTTCAAGATGAGCCAACTTGTTTCAAGTAACAGCATTATCACACTCCACTTTCTTCTTAATTCTACTTTATGCTCTTATTGGTCATATGTACTGCTATCTAACTAAGCCTCATCGGTTTTTTGACGTCTTTTAAATTTGGGCTGGAGCCCAGTGGGTAACACTATGGCAGCAGTCAAGCTTTGAAACACAGTGTGGGCGGGTCTCTAAAGCCAAATCCCTACTTTGATTGGATCTGCTGGATGGTGTTTTTTAGGCACCTGACCGGCCACCAAATGATGACCCCCCAAAAAAGACAAACCCGTATAGAAGGAAATGACCATTGAATCTTGAGCTGTACACTGATCTAATGGGTGGCCAATGCAGCTGACTTTGCAAGTGCAGGGTTCACAAGGAAGTACAACACACAGCGCCACGTGTAGCATGTTGTCAGAAAGACCTGCCTCTCTAGTTTTACCTGGAATTTGAATTTTGTTGATATCCCAAACAGTTTTAAAGTTATTCATGTTTAAACACAACATGTCATGAATGTGGCACTGATGGAATGTTCGTCTAAAAAGGGGTAAAAACTGAGGCTGTTGTGGGTGCACTGGAGTCACTCACGGTTGAACTTGGCCCACCGACCTCGGACAGACTCCTCCGATTGCTTCTGTTCTGTGAGACGCTGCTTAAAGCTCTCGTTTTCTCGTTCTTCTGTGTACATCTGTTAAGCACCCAGAAGAAAAATATAATTAGTAATTGAGCCATTTGTAGTGTACAGGGGTTTCATTTAACGTACATACAGTCTCATACTATCTCATAGTTGACATTATCTCATAATAATGACTTAGTATCTCATAATTACAGGATGTTCTCAAAATAATGAAGGTTTCTCAAAATGCTACGACTTGAATATTTTATCCCATACTCTTACTATCTCCTAATTATGAAATGTTATCTGATCATTTTTAACTATCTCATATTTGACATTATCACATAATAATGACATAGAATTGTTAGAATTGTGATGTAATATCCTAAAATAATTAGTTTTCAAAATGCTATGACTTGAGTATTTTATCCCATGCACTTAGTATCTCATAATTACAAGATATTCACAATTTTGAGTTACTATCTCATAACTGATATTATCACGTAATGATGACTTAGTATCTCAGAGTTTTGATGTAATCTCAAAATATTGAAAGTTTCTCAAAATGCTATGACTTGACTTAGTATGTCATAATTACATGATATTCTCTCACAATAGATATTATCTCATAATAGTCACTTAGTATCTCAGAATTTTGAAATCTCAAAATAATGAAGATTTGTCAAAATGCTACGACTTGAGTACTTTATCCTATACACTTAGTGTCTTATAAATACAGGATATTTTTAACATTTTTAAGTTGCTACATCATAATTGACATTATTTCATTATAATAGCTTAGTATCTCAGAATTGTGAGGTAATATCTCAAAATAATGAAAGTTTCTTAAAATGCTATGACAGGTGTTTTATGTCATAGACTTATATCTCATAATTACATAATATCTCACAATTTTTACCTAATATCTTATATTTATGACATGTATTTATATTTATGACATAATAACAACTTCATATCAGAATTTTGACGTAATGTATCAAATTATTAAAAGTTTCTCAAAATGCCATGACTTGAGTATTTTATCCCATATACTTAGTTTATCTCATAATTACAGGATATTATCTCAGAATTTTGACATAGTATCTCAAAATAATGAAAGTTTCTCAAAATGCTATGACAAGAGTTTTACGTCATAGACTTAGTACCTCATTTACAGGATATTATCTCACAATGATGACCTACTAAGTCATAATTGACAGTATCTCATAATGACTTAGTATCTCATAATTTTGACTTAACATTTTAAAATAATGAGAAAGATTCTCAAAGTTATAAGACAGTGTGTTATAATTATTTGACTGATTACTGTCTCACATTATTTATTTTATTAGTGTCTTCCACCCAGTGAATGCTGGTATAGGCTCTGGCACGAACCAAGAGGATAAGCAGCTTAGAAAATGAAAGAACTAATAATTTTACAAGCATCTCAAAAATTACAATAGTTTTTAGATATTATGCCTTAAGCACAGGAATGATTGGACTCACCAGTGGCTGCGCGCACTGCAGCGAGCTCTTTTCCGAGATATCTCCAGTCATGACGGTGCTCGTAGACCGCAGTGACCTCAGAAGAAGCACAACAGCTTGAGGAAAGAGTGGACCATATGAGGATGCAGTCTTCAGATGTAGTGCAAGACTGTAGCACCGTGGTGTTCATTCAGTTTTTATCCCCAAACCAGCTTCCACATGGAGAGGGGGGCGGGGCCAGGATGAAGACCCACCTACCCTTTTCACACTATGACCAACTTTGGCTTCTCCAGTAAAAAAATCAGCAGTATACAATGTGTAGATGATTTTTTTTTTCAGCTACCGTCACCACCCCCATGTCTGCGCTGCACTCAGTGTAGATTTTCCACTCTGCTGTGGTCAGGCTGGAGGTGATGCTAAAGGCTGGACGTTGTTTTGTGCATAACCTTTGTTGTGTAGGAGGTAGACTTTCCACAGCAACATCTCCAGGGTAGAATCCATTCTTACAATCTTCACTTTTTTGTAGTCCAACAGGGGTCAGGGGTGCCCAGTCCTGGCCCTCTGCTCAGCCTTAGCATTGCAGTAATGCTGGTAATGAAGCTCCCTCATCACCTGTATCATACACTCCTTAAAAAGATGGTTCTTTAAGGTTCCTTAGTAAAGTAAATGGCTCTATAAACAACCATGACCTCTCAAAGAACCACTTTGCATGATTAAAGTGTTTTTTTTTGCATCATGAAAGGGTTCTCCAGAGTGTGCTGTAGATGGTTCTATATAGAACTTTTTTGAAAAGGATTCTATATAGCACCCAAAAAGGTTCTTCTATTGTTACAATGTTAAGCTTGCAACAATAGAAGAACCCTTTTTTGGTGCTATAGCTAGCTATATTCATCTACAGCACATTCTCCATCAATCTGAAGTAGCCTTTACTAATGCAAAGGGTTCTTTGACTGTTCATGGTTCTTTATAGAACCATTTTCTTTACTAAAGAATCCTTGAAGAACCATCTTTTTTAAGAATGTACACGCTTAGCAAAAAGATTCTACATAGTACCAAAAATGGGTTCTTTGTCTTGTAACAATAGTGGAACCCTGTGGAACAATAGTGGAACCCTGCTGTATAGGCCCCTTTTCAAAAAAGTTCTATAAAGAACCATCTATAGCATATTCTCCATCAGTTTGAAGAACACTTTCATGATGGCAAGATCCCTTTAAGCATGCAAAGGGTTCTGTGAGTGTTCATGGTTCTTTGTAGAACCATTTTCTTTACTGAAAAATCCTTGAAGAACCCTTTAATCATGCAAAGGGTTCTATTAAAGGTGTCCACTCTTAAAAAGATGTCTCTTCAAGGGTTCTTCAGTTCTGTATGGAACCATCCTCAAAGAACCTTGTGACAAATAGTGATAGTTTAGGCTAATGGATCGTATCCGATTATACTTTTTCTTTCGATATCCGATCCAGTGATTCTGGCCAGTATCGGTTTGATACCAATACTGAGTATCGGATCAGCGCTCCCTAGTAATCAGTGAAGCTGTATTACACTTTTAAAAAATATGTTTTTTCAAGACAGTGGTTCTATGTAGAACCACGAACACTCAAAGAACCATTTGCATGCTTAAAGGGTTCTTTGCATGGTGAAATTGTTCTTCGGATTGATAGAGAACGTGTTGTATATGGTTTTATATAGCACCAAAAAGGGTTCTTCTATTGTTACAAGCTTGGCATGGTAACAATAGTGGAGCCCTTTTTGGTGCAATGTAGAACGCTTTTCTAAAAGGTTCTCTGTAGAACCACATACAATACAGTCTGAAGAACCATTTCACCATGCGAAGAACCCTTTAAGCATGCAAATGGTTCTTTGAGTGTTCGTGGTTCTACATAGAACCACTGTCTTGAAAAAACATATTTTTTAAAAGTGTAATACAGCTTCACTGATTACTAGGGAGCGCTGATCCGATACTCAGTATTGGTATCAAACCGATACTGGCCAGAATCACTGGATCGGATATCGAAAGAAAAAGTATAATCGGATACGATCCATTAGCCTAAACTATCACTATTTGTCACAACTAGGGCTCTCAACCAATATTCTAAATTCGCTAATAAAATCCAATTGTAAAAATCCATAATAAATATTTTATTGTAAAAAAAGCAGCACTACCATTGCAGCCTGCCTCATGAGTTCTCGTGTGAGCCAGGGCCGCTGCACCGAATGCACTGCCTGATGGACAGGAGTCACACATCACACTTACAGGACTGAAAGTAAAACGTATGTCCAGCTAATTCAACAACAGCCATGATGGCAGAGTTTATAAAGCAACAGAGAGAGCAATCTGTGCTCCAAGCTGTCTAAAAAGCCCTGTTTGGAAACAGAGCAGAACTTCAGGTCAGTAGATGACAAAAAAGTGGAAAATGGAGATAAAGTTGTATGCGAGCTAGGTAAGCTACAGTTAGCCTAGCCTTCCAACCTGAAAGCACATCTCAAAAATATGGGCATAATGCCCCAAAATAGATATTCAAACAGTTCAAACTGATGTGTTTGGCATTTTTGGCCAATTTTGACAGCCATAGTCATGAGACTAACCTACGAGTTGGTAACGCAGCTAATTTAATATCAGTTGCAATAGTCTAGGCCAACATGCGGCTCTTTTACTGCCCTGTTGTTGCGCCACTGCAGAATTAGGTTTGTAGGTAAAAATAAAATAATCCTCCTTTACAGTAAAATAAAGCTCTGCTGATCGTTCAACACAGTTTTAACAATAAATAAACTCTGGAGTTAATGTAGCCTATAACTGATAATTCACCCTTTAACCCTGAAACACACACAAAAAAAAATCTGGCCTAGCTAGTAGCTAACGAAAAAGCAAAAAGATTTAAGACAGACTTTGATGATTTGGAGACGAATAGAGTTATTTGCATTTATAATCACTCCAGCTGGTTTCCTGATATGTTTAATCTGCAACAAGAAACTGTCAAATACTAAAAAGCCGCAAAGCTCAAGTCAGCTTCTTGCTCGCCAGCTTTTTGTTCAAATTTTCCCGTTCCACCTTAAATGGTGCAGCAGTTACATTCTGGCACGTCAGGCGCCATTTAAGGTGGAACGGGAAAATTCGAACAAGAAGCTGGCGAGTGAGAAGTGACTTCAGCCTTGTAAAAAGTCAAACGTTGAGAAACATTTTACAAGAAAATATTCTGCTTTTGAGGAAAAGTTTCCTGCTGGAGATGTGAGAAAAGCGGCTATAGCTGAGCTGAAGCTTAAAGCAGAGTGAGTCTGCATTTTTGTTTTTATTATATTTTTTGTCTATACTAGCACATTAACACACACTGAGACATATTTACAGCCAAGATGATAAAATGGACATAATATTTTGTGGCTCCCAAGGTGGTTTGATTTTTATTGAAAGGACAAAATGGCTTTACTTAAAATTTGCTGACCCCTGGAGTTTCAGTTGTGAGTGTCTTAAGATGCCATGTCTACCGCACTGTGTTCCACTGTACATTTTATACTGGAAATGCTATTATTTTTAAGTTATAAGTTCTGGTCTACACTGCAACTTCTTTTTTGCTATGTTATTGAGATATAGGCAGCAGAGTGCTGAGTCATGTTGTGGGTATTTCTTCCTTTAGGGGAGTAAGATATTTGTTCCACAGTTTGAACATGATATTATTTGATATATTATTAACAGCTTTGTTGTTTAAAAGATGGAAAAAGACAGTATCGGCTTGGTATTGGTACCGGTAGATACTCGAGGTTGTGGTATCGGACATGAAAAAGTGATACTGAGCCATCCCTACAGGTTACTATAGGCATTACTACTGGGTGGGAGGCTAAAATCTTTATTGGGCCAATCACGTAGATATAATATGTAGATGATTTTTTTTTCAACTACCATCACCACCCTCACATCTGCGCTGCTCTGTAAATTTTCCACTCTGCTGTGGACAGGCTGGAGGTAATGCTAGTTCTTGGCTTGTTTTGCACATAACCTTTGTTGTGCAGGAGATGTTGTGCAGCAACATCTCCAGGGTAGAATTCACTCTTACCATATTCATTTGTTTGTACTTGAACTTGAGCCTGGGGTGCCCAGTCCTGGTTCTGGACATCTGCTGAAGGTGTTAGTGAAATGATGTCTTGGGTATCAATGGAATTCATGGATTTCATGGAATAATTTTATGTAATGGACCTTTTAGAGGTGGACGTCTGGTTTCTATCACCACCACTGTGAAAAACTCCGGCTTGGTAAGTTTCTCTAGAATGGAGCATCACATCAACCACCCTATATGAGGTCGTCCACCATTGGTCCATTATTGGTAGAGTCCCCCTTTAGAGTCCCAAGTGTCTCTGCTCTTATATTCCACTAAAAAGATCTGAAACTTGTGTTAGAACTAAAGGTTCTGTGTAGGTACATTTTCATTTATCAAGGTACAAACAATGTAAATGTACCTCAAAGGTACAACAGTGGTATTGAGGTCCAACTGTGTACCTTAAATTGGTTTTTCCTAGGTAAAAAGTCTGTATTTGTATCTTTTCATAACTTAGTGTTTTAAAATAGAACAATAAAATAAAGGTCTGGAGACGAGACGGGGTGTGTGGAGTCAATACAATTAAGAAAATATAATTTCAGTGGATTATGGTTCAGTTACGTTCCCTGACTAAAGTTACTGAGATGGACCATTGAGGGTCCCACCCCGGTGACAAGAGGGGTACCTTTTTTCTGGGAGTGTAGGAGGTGGGTGGTCATTTCTGTACAGGCCATTAGCAGTTGTGCTAATAAGAATAGTTTACACGTGCAGACTGTTGCTTGCAGGTCTGTGATCTCCATGAACTGTATACAGTAAAAAGAATTTACAAAACAATCACCATCAACATGGAGATATCCCAGTGGTGTGTGTGTGTTTTGTGTTCTTTTTCTTTTTTTACACAACACTCGGGTACATTGGAGAAAGTCCTGGTATCAAACAATTTAGAAATGTTGTTACTCATAGTATTAGGCACTTACCGTAGTTGACTACCAAGGCATGTGAAATTCCGGTACAGTGCCTACTGAAGACCCATTGAATGTCCTGCCTCCTTGTTAGTACAGTCTGGCAATACAAATGTGTCAATACAAATACAAATAAAAGTACACTGGATGACTTCACCTGATTTGGAGGGAAACCCCCACCCTCCTGTTCAGGGGTCTGGAATCTAG